TTCGTGCCGAGTTCGAGTGACGCCTACAAATCCAGCGAATGCTGGCAGGCTGTGCTTGCGCCGGTCCCAAGTGCGATTGTCCGCCAAGCAAAAACATTGCACAGGCTACTGGAGCATGTCGGCGTTCTTGTACTTTGATCTTTCATTTTCTGGGCTTAAAACGAGTGTAAACAGACTTCGTAAGTTCATAGCTTTGAGCGTGAGCCCTCGCCTACCACAGAGGATATTCAGAGAGGTGTAATTTGCATCCAGCGTAAGCCCCTACCGTCGTGTTCATATGAACCAGCCTATGCGAGCAACATCGGCTAAAAACATTGACGGTAGGTTTCGTTGCAACGCAGATGCTATATAGGACCCCGGAAGCATTACGTAGTGCATACAGATTTTTTATTTGCACTGTGTTTGTTTTCAACATCGGTACTCATCATCGCTTAACGCGAACCTAACACTAGGTAATACATTTCGGTGATTTGAAATTGTACCTACTTATATAGGTGCATTCGCGGATTGCACGACCCTGAAACATTCGTTGGTTTTGGTTCAAATCGTTTTGTGTGTTGCCAAGCTAATAACAAGCATGCACTGGTTGGTAGCAGTGTGATGTGACTTTGTGTGGGCTACCACCGACACTGGCACAATCAGCTGTCAGCGGTCTCATTTCCGTTCACGTACAAGATAGAAACTCGAACGTGCATAGCTGTGGTGACCTCAAAAAAAGTTGCATGAATAAGTTCTCCTGGTATTGCCTGCAATTTTACTTCTCGCTTGTTCAGCTTCTCAGCCAACCTTAGTAGCACATACGTTGTTTGGAGGCATTCTAACACACACATTCTTATTTCTAGTTCATTCTGATACTCATGGCTATAAGCATACATCTGCGCTTCTCCGTCGTTTTACAGTTTACTATAAAATAACGCGTCTTTTGTTTACAACTGGACAGATAACTGAAACTCGTTTGAGAAGCACCTGATCTAAAATCAGCTGCACGGTGACACAATACTAGGAACAGAACGTCACCACATGTATGCATAGAATAAATGAAGGTGCTCTAGTACTGTACTGCACTTTGTTTAGAAGAAATGCAAAAAGTGCCTCATGTGACTCATTTATTTATTATTTATTTATTTATTTATTTAACATACCTTACAGGCTCTCGTTAGAGCATAGAGTAAAGGGGGCTTACAGAAAAAAAGAAAGAAAAATGAGAACGTATACAGTTCAAATATACAAATAAATTCAACATAACAGCGACACAAATAACAGTAATGGAATAAGGAAAATGCAGTCACCAAGTATATGCACCTCCATACAAATGTCTATGAAATGATTTTAGATGTAGTGAGAGAGTAGTTTCTCGCGGAACGCGTTGTTGTTAGTGACTGAAACTATCTCGTCGGGAAGATAATTCCACAGTGAGATTGCCTGTGGCAAAGCAGATAAGTTGAACGCGCATGTTCTGCCAAAAATACGCTTAAAGTTGCGCTGATTTCGCATGCGTGCAGATATGCGATCCGGTGTATGTAGAGGGAAAGTGCATGGATTTCTGCTATTAATGTACCTGTGAAACAACACAAGGAGGGCTATCTTGCGGCGGATATCCAATGGTTGTAAACCGATCTCGCGTTTAATTTGAGATACACCGCTGTGACATTGGTAGTTCTGAGTGATGAAGTGGGCTGCTCTATTTTGAATGGCTTCGATCATCTGTATTAAATAGTTTTGATAAGGGGACCAAACTGGTGAGGCATATTCTAACTGTGGACGTACGAATGTTAAATAGGCTATTTTTCGGACACTCGATGTGGAGTAATGGAGATTTCGACGAAAATAACCTAGTGTTTTGAATGCCTTGGAACAAATGGAAGTTATGTGGGAAGACCATGAATGTTTAGAGTCAATAATAACCCTTAAATATTTGTATGGTATGGTACGAGATACTTCTCTATTTTTAATTTTGAATGAAAAAGTGGAAATCGAGGTTTTTCGGGAAACCGACATTATTTTACATTTTGAAGTGTTCAAGCTCATTAATCACTTATTACAACAACTGCAAACGGGGTCTAGGTCACCTTGAAGGGCGTCATGATCAGAGGAGGATGTTATGGTTTGATAAATGACACAGTCATCTGCAAACACGCGTATACGGGATGAAATGTTAGTCGGCAGATTGTTGATGAAGATTACAAAGAGTATAGGGCCAAGGACCCTATCCTGTGGCACTCCTGAAGTCACTTCTGCGATATCTGAATGAGAATTATTTGCAAATGTGAGCTGTTCACGAAATGAAAGAAAATTTCGAAGCCATGATAGCGTTAAAGATTCCAATTTAAGAGAAGACAATTTGGAAATGAGACGACAATGGGTGACACGGTCAAATGCCTTCGAAAAATTGAGGAAAGCGCAATCTGTCTGTGTGTTCATGTCCAAGTTAGTCTGTAGATCTGTCGTGAATTCAAGTAGTTGTGTATCGCAAGAGAAACCTTTTCTAAAGCCATGTTGGGTGGAACTAAAAAACTTGTTTGATTCAAGATGACTGTAATTGTGAGAAGCAATAATATGTTGAAGTAATTTACAGCTGATAGAGGTTAACGAGATAGGACGATAATATTCAAGCTGATCTTTACATCCTGCTTTAAATATGGGAATAACTTTTGCGACTTTCCAGCCCCTAGGAAGCTTACCGGTACAAGAAGACTGTCTGAAAATGTGAAATAATATTTGACATGACGTGGGAATTGTATTTTTTAGTATCTTTGAATTGGTATTATCTAGACCACTAGAAGTAGAAACTTTGAGATTGTCGATTAGTTTATAGATGCCCTCAATGTAAATATCTACGGGTGCCATGAAAGGTAATCAATATCCAGAAACTCAGGAATGCTAGAATGATCTTCGTGTGGGAAAACAGAAGAAAAAATGTTTTAAATGCAATTGCACGCAGGTCTCTTGGGAGAGGTAATTGATTTTTGCCTTTCAAAGTAATATGTGTCACTGCAGAAGCAGGTGATCATTGTTGCCAAAATTTTCTGGGATTGCATTTTAATGATGATGGTAGGTCATGTTTAAAGTACTTGTCTTTAGCAGTGAATAATGCAGAAGTATAACTTTTAAGACGTTCCTTATATGAATTTCAAGAAGAGGCACTACGAGCGTGCATCACGGTCCTATACAACCTTTTTTTCGATTTCTCAAAGTTCACAAACATTTGTTAAACCCTGGGTTTCTCTTCTCATTAGATACGGCAATTTCAGGGACGTATTTGTCGACTAATAAAGTATTCTCTTCTCTAAACAATGACCAAGTTTTATCGACGGTATGACTTGACAATGAGGGCAAGAATGTGCTGTGATAGAATTCTTCCAAGCCAGAATTCATACAACTATAATTGGCCTTACTGTTGTGTCTATTCACTTTGTAGTTTTACCCGCGACTTTGAGGGTAATGTTTATTGATAATTGAACGAGCTTATGGTCACTAAACACTTCAAGGCAACAAATTTCACCCACATTATCAGGACCTGATGTAAGTAATAAATCCAAAATATTATTGCCCCGCGTTGGCTGGTATACTATTTGAGCGAAATTAAAATCAAGGGCAAATTCACAAAGTCAAGGGATATTTTTGAGGTGGATGATGGTTCAGAATCGGAAGGACGGTAACATACGCCTACTAGTAATTTAGTGGCACAAGTCGTGCACGCGACCCAGACAATTTCTAAGTTTGAGTTTGTATCGATGACAAAAGTAGGTATAGATTCTTTATAGCAATAAGGACACCTCCCCCACGTTTGCTTTGACGATCACGTCGGAAAACGTCATAATCGGCATTCCCGTGAAGAATTTCACTGTCATCAACATCCTGAGTAAACCACGTTTCAGTGAGCAGGAGGACATCAGTCCTGAACAAATGAGATCACGCTTGTGCAGTAAACTACGAATGTTAGTGAAGGAAACACATACAGCCGGTGCAGATTTACTCCGAATTTCTCTAGGGACATGCGCACGCCTATGCCTCAGCTATCTGGCAGACAGCTTGACTGCGTGAGTAGCACTATCTTATATGTACGTTTTATCGCCCATGCGCAGACGATCAACGACGAGCTTGTAGGGCTTTTTTTCATTTTTGGCAAATTCGAATAGCTTTCTTCTGGCTTGTAGTGTGGGTAAAGAGAAATCTTCACGTACTAAAAATCTCGATCTCTTTGTTTTATGAGCTGAACCAAGAACGCTCTGCTTATCTTTGAAAAAAGCAAATTTTGCTATTATAGGCCGGTGTCTGCCAACAGGAAAGCAACCAAGTCTGTGAACTCGTTCAAATTGCGTGGCACTTGTATTCTTCTGTAGTTTCTCCGAGCAAAATTCAATCACCTGGTCAGATGCATTCCAGTCCTCGTTTTTATCATCTTCTATTCCAAAAAATAGCAAGTTATAGCGCCTGAGTCTGTTTTCCGTGTCATCACATCTGCATGTGATTTCCACGAGTTTCTTATAAATGGAGGACATAGCGGAACTCGAAGTGGTATATGAAAAGCGTAGACTACCTTCCAGCTTCGACACCCTCTCTGAAAGAAGCTTTACCTAAGCGTTCGTGTTTATATGGCCTTGTTTTATGCCCCTGACCTCCTCAAGTAAAGCAGTTTTAGTAGCTTCAATTCGACGCTTTGTTCCGAGTACCGCAGTATCCAATTTGGGCTCAAATGTAGGAAAACTGGTATTACCTTCGAGTACTGACACTCTCTCCAATATGCTTCGAAAATCAGCTTCTATGCGCTGCACAGTCGACAAAACACTACTCAACATATTTTCCATTTTGGCTCCAGGCCTGGGATTTAACTCGACGTCACCCGACAACACAAGCAACAACGCTAAGTACGCTGAGTGCACATTTGACAGGCAAGATAACACTCGTTCCATAGCACTGCAAAGTTCAGGTGGGCACGACAACGCAACAAGACAGTAACCATTGCTTTTGCAACATGAAGCATTTGCGAAATATCTAACCTGGAAAAGCAGCATATTTAAGTGCGCCGTTTTCGCTTCGGTGCCGTGCCCAAGGAAGGTTGGTCTCGGTGGGTGTATATATGTGTTCACTGCGGTGCACATCCAAATGGACGCGTCACTGTACGACCAGGGTTGCTTGGCGAGGCTCGTGTTGTCGAATGAACTTGGCTGCACGGGTAGATCCGATGCTGCAAGCGCCAGTAGATCTATTCGGCTTTTAATCCAAGCATTTGAAGTCGAAGCCAAGTTGAAGCAGGGCAGGACACAGGAGAGCATCGCCTGGAAAAGCAGCATATTTAAGTGCGCCGTTCTCGCTGCGGTTCCGTGCCCCATTCAGAGCTGTGCATGTGTTTATCTCTTCTTCCATATTGTAATGAGCAGAATATATCATTAGATGGTTTTGAAAATTGAATCTTTGTATCTGTTTCCAAGGACTGCTTCAATTTTGTTCAGTTTATTAGCATACGCATTAACTTGTACTATATATGCATCCACTTAGGATATTCAAAATATCAAGATATTCAGTTTATCTATGTTAGAAAACTTGCCTAAACTTCTGTAAAATCCTACGACCGTGCGTGCAATCCTACGACCGGTATCTGTCCCATAAAAGCTTTGGGCTTGTTTGTTGCATTATAGGGTATTTTGACTGTTGATGACATGTGAGAACCTTCTACACAGTGCTTAGCTGCAATCTTGAAACCAATATCTGTCTAGTCAAGAAGTGTGAGATGCATTTTTCAGATATTAAAGGAGATTTATACTACCAGTAAAGTGCAGAATGCTTGAACAAAGCACTGCTCTACAATCACAATCCAGCTTAGAAGTCATTTGTAGTGCTCTCTAACACGCTGATTTAAAGTTATCTAACACCAGAATGATCTACCTGGTTTGGTTCGTGATACCAGTGCGTCTGACTGTTTGTAGGCAGTTGTTCTATTTTTCCGACTTTTCTATATTTCTCATTTTTACCGGGCTTCACTTAGGAGGTAGTGATATTTGTTTACGTTGGCATGTTTATTGAGATAGTACTGTTTCAATGCTTTCATTTCGTATTTAGGTACATAACTCCTGCAGTAGCCGTGCATTGGGCTGCCGTATTGGGCTGCAGCTGCAGTAAACGGTTCGACGCAGTGCTCGGTTCCAATGTTATTACTGATAACTGTTGCATCATGAAGTGCCGGGTGTGGTTAATTGCATTGGAGAACATTTTGGCTGCAGGCAACATTCAAAAGTCTTCCGCAAAGTGTTCACTTGCAATCTTATAACCGATATATAATCTTATAACCGAGTGTTGTGTGCGATTAGTGTTTCTAGAGAATATTTTGACTACAGACAACGTCCAAACGTCTTCCATGTGAGATTAAGTTGCAGTCTTTTGAGCATTATTACATAATGAAGTAACAGGGTTAGTTAGTTGCGTTTGAGCATATTTCTACTGCAGCCAATGCTCAGAAGCAATCTACGCAGTGCTTGGTTCATATCTTACGTCAATATTAATTGCATGATGGGAGCCAGCTATGCTTTCTTGCATTAGTGAATATTTCTGAAACACACATCATCAAAAGCCGTTTATGCAGGGTTCAGTTGCAATCTTATGACCGATATCTCTGATATCACAAAAATTCGGGTCTGGTCTGTTTCTCTACAGATTATTTTGGCTAAAGAGAACGTCCAGAAGTCTTTCACACAGGATTCTATTGCAGTATTTTAGGCCACATCTGTCACATGAGGAAGTGTCAGGCACAGTTAGTTGTGTTAGAGCGTATTTGTACTACACACTATGGCCAAAAGCATTCTATGTAGTGCTTGGTTCCTATCGTATGATAAATATCAGTTGGTTTATTATGAACCTGGTGGGTTTTCTTGTAAAAGAGGATATTTCTAATAAAGACATCATCAAAAGCTTGCATACAGGCTTCAGCTGCAGTTTTATGAACGATATCTGTGACATCACAGATATCGGAAGTATTTGGTGTGGATTGTCTCTTTAGAAAATATTTTGAGTGCCAATAACGTCCAGAAGTCTTTCATACAAGATTCAATTACAGTGTTTTGACCAATATCTGTCACATGATGAGGTGCCAGGCACAAGTAGTTGAGTTAGAGCGTATTTAGACTACATAGTATGCCTAAGCGTATTCTACGCAGTGCTTGGTTCATACCTTATGATCAATGTCTGATGCGTTATTGTGTGCCAGGTGTGCTTTTTTGCATTGGAGGATATTTCTATAACACGCAACGTCAAAAGCCTTTGAAGTAGGGCTCCAGTGCAGTCCTATAACCTAAATCTGTGACATCATGAAGTATCTAGGTGGGTTTTTTTGAATAGAGAACATTGTGGCTGCAGACGCTGTTCAAAAGCCTTGCACACAGTGTTCAGTAGCAATTATATGATGGATATCTGTGACATCAAAAAGTGTCAGGTGTGGTTTGTCACTTAAAAATATTTTGACTACTGAGAATCAAAAGCATTTCATACAGGGTTCAGTTGCAATCCTATGATAGATATCTGTGACATCATAACGTGTTGGGTCTGATTTGGTTGTTTATAAAATACTCTGACTACAGAGAACGCCCAGAAGTCTCCATACGGTATTTATATGCAGTCGTTTGATAATCTGTCTCATGAAGAAGTGTTAGGCACAGTTGGTTGCGTTAGAGCAGATTTCGACTCCAGACTATGCACAAAAACACTCTACGCAGTGCTTGATTCCTAACGTATGGCCCATATTTGTTGCATCATTAGGAGCCAGGTGCGCTTTCTTGCTTTAGAGGGTATTTCTAATACAGACATCATCAAAAGCCTTCCATAGAAGGATCAGTTGCATTTTTATGAACAATATTTGTGACATCACGAAGTATTCGGTGCGGTTATTCTCTTTAGAGAATATTCTGAGTACAGAGAACGCCCGGAAGTCATTTGATACAGCGTTTAGTTACAGTCTTTTGAGCAAAATCTGTCACAAAATTAAGTGTCAGGCATATGTAGTTGAGTTAGAGCGTATTTCGACCACAGACTATGCCTAAAAGCATTCTGCGCAGTGCTTGGTTTATATCTGATGATCAATATCTGATGCATTATTAGGAGCCAGGTGGGCCTTTTTGCATTGGAAGATATTCCTCTAACACGCATCATCAAAAGCCTTCTAAGTGTATCCGGCAAGGCTATTTGCATCTCGACTGCGCATCGGACCTGCGCAGATACTCATGGCGCGCTATCGTGCGCCTATATAATCAGTGACAGAATAAACCGATATCACTTCTTGTTCTGGCCATCATGCTGTCTCGTCGTCCTTGCTAGCTACACTAAGTAGGGCTCCATTGCAGTCCTATGACCTGAATCTGTGACATCATGTAGTGTCGAGTGTGGGTTTTTAAATAGAGAACATTGTGGCTGCAGACACGGTTCAAAAGCCTTCCACACAGTGTTAAGTTGCGATCTTATGGTATATATCTGTGACATCAAGAAGTGTCAGGTGTGGTTCATCACTTTCGAGAATAGTTTGACTACTGATAATCAAAAGCATTTCATACATGGTTCAGTGGCAAACCTATGATAGATATCTGTGACATCATAACGTGTTGGGGGTGATTTGTTTGTTTAGAGAATATTTTGACTACAGAGAATGTCCAGAAGTCCTTCATACAGAATTTAGTTGCAGTCTTTTGAGAATACCTGTCCCACCATGAAGTGTTAGGCACAGTTGGTGTCCCTAGAGCATATTTTGACTACAGACTATGCCCAAAAACATTCTACGGAGTGCTTTATTCCTAACCTATGACCCGTATCCGTTTCATCATTAGGAGCCAGATGTGCTTTCTTGCATTAGAGAATATTTCTTATACAGACATCATTAAAAGCCTTTCATACAAGGATCAGTTGCAGTTTTATGAACCATATTTGCGACATCACGAAGTATTGGGTGCGGTTTGTCTATACAGAGTATTTTGATTACAGACAACATCCAGAAGTTTTCCATACAGGATTCAATTAGTGCAGTATCATGACCTGCATCTTTCACATCATGAAGTGTCCGGCACAGTTGTGTCAAAGCGCATTTCACCTACAAATAATGCCCAGCAGCATTCTACGCAGTTCCTACCCAGGTAACGCAGAACGTTGAGTCAACATGGTTTTAAATTAACGAATGTGAGGCAACGTTAGACGGTAAAATATAACATTGCACTGACGTATATAGTATTACGTTGCCATAACACAGTGTTTTTAATGTTGCAGCAACATTCAACTAATGACGTTGTCCTAATGTGTTGTCTTTAACGATGCAGCAATATTCAAATTATGACGTTGCGATAACGTGATGGTATTATTGTGGCAACAACAATCAAGTTATCACCTGGCTTCGATTTTGTATATAGACATCAAGCCCATGTTTCCCAGCAAATGTAGAGACAAGGAGAACATAATCACTGAAACATCCAATAACACACATGGAAACTCTTCAACTTCAAGTACTCATTTGAATATTGGCTGACAGTGGTTAGTGTGGTTGTGTAAGCAATAGAAGAAGCATGAACAATACAGACAACAGTTCACCCTATGTTCTGCATGCGCTAATCCTTTTAATAATCTGATTTCTTCATACAGTTGCACTCTGCAATTTATTTAAATATTTTTTTGACAATACACGATTGCTATGGTGCAAAACACAAAAGAACACCACCATGAGTCACCTGACTTGGCCTGTATAGCTTCGCACCATAGGTTCTTCACACAGAGTGACTGAATTAAGAAAAAAAAGAAACATAAGCACACAAGTTCATGGTGGAGACCAGTGCATTGCCTTCTTACGTCTGTAGCTAGATACAGTAAATACATTGAATTCATACGTGAGAAAGATATGTGCAAAAGCAAGCCTTTTAGGACCCCAAGCTTCTAGGCTACAAAAGGCTGCTGTAGGCAGGCTTATCTTAACATGTATGCTTGCAGGCTTGAAGAATAAATACCTGTATTTTAACTATTACTGTGTGGTTGTAAAAATCATGGGAACAAATACATTATGAAGTGAGCAAGCAGTTGTCA